AGCCCGAATCACTGGTAGAGCTTCCTGACGTTCAATCCTTTTTTGATGAAATCATGTTATTGTAGTCGGTTTGGACGGTTTATTTTCTTCTGCCTGTGCATGCTGTTGACCGTGTTCTCATAATATTGTAGTATATATCGGCCTGTTTCTCCGGTGTTGATTTGTTATTCTTTATCGTTTGTTGCACTATATGTCCACTTTTGTATAATTATTTCCGTCCCCTCTACTTCAATGTCCACCAGGCGATATAAGCGCCAAATAATCAAATAAATGATACTCCGTTCACCCTTAAGCTGAGGCTACGGTGGGAGCTACGTGCCCACTGGACCAATCAGCCACCTCCCACTTACCACCTGAACATGAACCTCAACCACCTGACGACGTGGCGAAAGAGAGACGTATGACTGATCCAATGAGGACGTAGCTTCCACTGTAGTCTCAGCTTAGAGTTGAACCGAGATACGGAGCGCAAGTAAAGGAGAGGAGAAGGAGCGGCGCGGTGAGAGGGAGTGATCACGTGTAGGATGAAGCTCCACCTATGCAGTTTCTTCTCGGTCCAGAGCAGCAACATCTTGGCCGTTCGTTCCTTGTTCGTTGAAACGCGTCTAATAAATTATAGTAGAAAAAAAGTATCCCTTGAGGTATATATTTTTCTATTTCTTGAAGTCCACGGCCTCGTTTGAGCCACAAGAAAGACTGAACGACCCGACTCTCTGGTATACAGGTGACAGAACGGTTTGTGAATACTCCATTAGCGTTTCCTGTGTGAAGTGCAAGCTCGGCGATCCAAAGGTGTGGGCTCAAATTACGAGATCGTCAAGGTACGGTCGTAGACATCGGGAGAACGCGCCCGTTCCTACAAAATGGAGCCATCAGAACCAACGGTTCTCCTCCCATGCATCCGCTGCAAGGAGTTCCTGCGTACAGTCGGCCTTTGCGTGTTTATCTTCTGTCCACGTAAATTATTTTTTTTTCTCGGAAACCTTGACTATTGGGTTATCCTTCCGAGTTAAGAGTTGGAAAAGGCACATTAACCACAAGTTGCATAGAGATGGATGCTCAGACCCATCTCCTGTACCTGTTAAGGCTCCCCTTTTAGACTCCACGTGCAGAATAAAGTCGAAAAAATTAAAATTTTAGAGTACGTTTAACTGTTACTCTTGATGACAAGTCTGTTTCGATGCGTAATGGAGCACGTCACCTCTTTAATTTGTTATTATCTGCGCACTTAAAGTAAAGTTACTAACGTTCGCTCAACTAAGGATCTAAAGCTTGACAAACGATATCCCGCTTGTGACTCGCAAACTACGAGCATTTCTTGTGACAAATCATCGGATTGAATCTAAGAACTGACACCCAGATTCGGAGAGGAGCTAACCTGAAATAAAAAAAAAACTGCTCGCAATACAAAATGAGCCAGCAGTGAATAGAAAAGTGAGCAAAGGGTAAACTTTCACTACTCCACCGTCACTGTTCCCCCTAGGTCTGAACTTGCGGAGTGGACTTTCATTCGCCTTTCGATTTAGGGAAGAAAAAAAAAAAGAGTAATAGCGCCAGCGAGGCAGTTAGGCGAATAAAAGTGGGCACAAAAGAAACAATCCGGTACAGAACCGCTCCTTTTCTTGTTCCGCTTTTCATTCCATTTATATCGTACCTTCTTTCTACACCCAACACGTCTGTATGTCTGGTTTATAAATGACAGTTTGATGAGCGGCTTTCTAGGGAGATGCTCGGGCTGCTAGCCGACCCCTAGGAATCTGGAGAGGGGGGGGGGAGTGAAAAAGAGGGAACGGACCTGAAATTGGAAGCACGGAGGAATAGCGAAAGTATCCTTTACTTTCCCCTCCACACAATTCTTCCCTCTTTTCGCTCCTGTTTTCCGCAAATCCCGAAGGCATCCTTTTAATCCCCTTTTCTCTGGGTCACATGTCTGCCGCCAGGCCGCTACAGTTTTCTCTGCGCACTTGGATAACCGGTAGCTCCCACTTCTCTCCTTCACGCATTTTCCGCTGCGTGGCGCCGCCTCCTGTTCAGTTGTGAGCTGCTTGTAGAGAGACTAGGAGATGGCGCGAAAAGGAACGTCTCGCCGAACTAGGTGGGTGAGCCAAATCACGAGTGTTTTGAGAGGTAACAGACGTGGAACACTGTTCTAGCAAACAGCCCTAGTAAAAGCCATGATTAAAATAGCGCAAACTTGACAAGGACAACAAAGAAGGCACACGTACCACAGGACAGGCGCTTACTTCCAACTAAGTTTATTTCATCATCCAACCAAGCAATATATACCATCGCCAGCAAACATAAAAACACAAAAACAAAAAAGATGTTGTGTTTTTATATCACTGGCGATGGTATATATTCCTTGGTTGGATGATAAAATAAACTTAGTTGGAAGTAAGCGCCAGTCCTGTTGTACGTGTGCCTTTGTTGTCCTTGTCAAGTTTGCGCTATTTTAAACATGTCTAGTAAAAACCAACTAGCTCAAAGAAAAGTCGTGTTACTAGTAAAAGCACTTGTATATTTCCCTGCTATGGGATCCTGTAAAAATGTTATGTGGTCTTATTGGATACAGGATCATGTATAGGTATACAGGGCCCATACCTGCATATGGGATCTTGTATATAGATATTCAGACCTGCAAATGACATCCCCACCTGCTTATGACATCATGAGTAAGGCTGTATGAGCACACCGAACGTATTTGACAGCGACATCTGTGATGGGCTTCTTCCACCAGTGGAAATGATGCCCCTTGTTTATGTTACAGTAGTTGCTGGTGTTGTTGTAGTTGGCCATGTAGGGCCGCCGTCGTCGATGTTGCTCAATCATTAAAAAAAGTCCGGCGCCCGTGGGAATCGAACCCGGGTCCGCTGGGTGCGAAGCGGAGGCGTTACTGGCTACTCCACAGCGTTAATAACCCGCTCTATACTTAATTTGTTTTTTTTTTTTATTTTTGTTTTTTTTTGTGTCGGATCTCAACTGAAAACAAGTGAATTGAAGAATTATATGCATAAATGTGAAAATATACTTGAGCGACTTTGTAGAGACCAGGTTTTTTTCGAATTTCTATATGCACATCTATACAAAATACTTTCCTGTAAAACGTCCTGTGGAAAAAAAAAAGAAGATAAGGCTCCAATTTACGCTGTAAAGATGGTTGAACAGCGAAGCTGCGGTATAAGCTCCAACGATCGCCCACTGCACTATAAACTTCTTTTTTTTTTCTATGGCAAACGTCACCGGGTAGTGCTTCAGTCTTCTACGTGCCATGAAACTTCCGTTTTATAAAACTGAATGAACAAAGGCCACCTTAACGCCGATGCTTGAAATGTCGAAGAAACGTTTAACCACCAATTTTCCAGGTGAACGCCAAAAGAACGAACAATTGCGAAATCTGTTAAAATGTTTCAAGTATTCTTGCAGACCAACTTGCCTCCTCCAAGATGTAATAGAGTACTGCCGAAGGCCGTCGTTAAATCTTCAACTTCGTTGTCCGTGTAGCATTTATGCTTTCTAGCACTGTACTTGCAAAGAAGGTGCGACCAGAAGTCGCTTCGGAAGCAAGCGGCAGCTCATGTTTCTAAACAGCAAGAAGGTCTATACCAAATGATTGACGAAAGAAAAGTAAATGCACTTTACAAAAACTTTTTTTATATATATGAAAGACTTCGTACGCTGCCCTTGCCGCGGCAGCTTACGCAAAACTAATCTTTACCGAGAAACGCATGCGGGGAATGCTACCTGCTTCGCATTATTAGCGGGGCTAGTAACGTCACTCCACACTTCGTACTCTGCCGTTGCCGCGGCAGCTTATGCAACCGCAACCTTTACCGCGAAACGTATGCGGGGGTGCGACGCGCTTATTATCGTTCGCGTGCTCTTTATAATCTATCACGTTGTTTTGACACTTGTTTTGCGGTTTTCTTGTTGAAACAAGTGTCAAAACCACATGATAAACGATAAGGCGTGTGCGAACGGTGATAAGGCGCGTGCGTGAGTTTTCTGTCGACGGACACGAGAAAATCTCACCTGCGAGTCACATGCAGCATCGCTATAAAAATATATATATATATTTTTTTAGCAAAACGTTTTGTATAAACGATTACTGGAAACGCCTTCCAGCGTGACACCCACAACAATGTATACAGAAAATGCCTTCCTGTAGGCCTTCCTACAAACAAGCACACAGGAAATGCCTTCATGTAAGCCTTGCTGTATGAGTTTATAAGGGATTTTTCAATGCGAGGTTTCGCTTTTTAAAATGTGAGCCTAATGAAGAACCCAGCTTAATACAGTATCCAGTTTAGCAGATCGTTCAGCTTGACACAGAATCTATATTGATGGGGCATTCCGCTTGTTACTGTGTCGGCTTAATGCAGCATCTATCCTGATGCAGCATACAGCTTGACACAGCACCTAGCTTGAACGACATTATTATAAACAGTGCAAAAGGGCGGAACAAGTGTAGAAAGAGCGCAGGTGACATACGCTAACTGACAACTAAATGTTTATTGAAATTCCACGTTTACTGGAAATTCCAACGTTTGGCTTTATGCCGATTTTACTCTGCGGTATGACCCCACACAGATAAGTGATTAGATGAACGCGTGTAGATGCGAAACACTGTGCGAGCGTGGGATTTTTAAGAAACATTTTGTTGTCAGTCAGCGTCTGTCCTGTGTGCTCCCTCTACTTTCGTCCCGTCATTTTGCAATGTTTTTAATAATGTCGTTCCACAATTAACTAGCCCAGCAATCCAACCTTTTAGACATAGCTTGAAGCAACATCCAGCTTGATACTGCATCTAACTTCATACTGCATTCAGCTAGGTGCACCATCGACCTTGACACAGCACCTAGCTTGATAAAGCATCCAGCTTAACACAGCACCCAGCTTGATTAAGAATTCAGCTTGATGCAGAATTCAGCCTGATGCAGCATTCAGCCTAATGCAGCATAGAGTCAGCTTGATAATGCGTTTAGCTCAGTACTGCATCCGGCTTAATGCAGCGTAGCGCCTATAAAGACCGCCAGTTTATTAACCATTTTTTCGGATGAACCATTAGCCGTTCAGTAATCCCTTTTTATGCTAAACACCACTGTTATGAATTGTTTATTCGTTTGGATAGGGGTCACGTACCTGGACGTTGTAGAGGCTGCTGTTGCGATTGCTGCTGCTGCTGCGATTGTTGAGCTGGCGGCGATCTGTGTTCGGGCGGCGGGAGTGTGGCCGTGGTTCGCAGCACCTCTTCGTACTGAGACCGTTTCTTCTGCTCGAGTTCCAGCTGGTCCTGGATACGGCGCCGACAGCGGCGTTCTTTCTTGAGCCTCTTTTGGTAGAGCACTGCGAACGGAAAGGCAGAAAATATAAATATAGAAACCATGCCACAATTTTCTGGCCCGCACTAAATGAAACTTAGTTTAAGGGCATGGTTCTATCTGATCTCTGCCGCTTTTCTACTTCTGACGCGCTAACGGCTTGAAACGAACGACATGCAAAAATTCCAGCACCATAAGCGGAACGCATCAGCGACTGTTCTCTTTGGCTTGCACTCGTGCATTCAAAGGGCTGCCGAATCGGTAACAAATGACGCCACAGGAGCTGGCTTGTTTTATTGTTGGCAACTGGCGATTGGTCGTGTTAAGTTCTGGAAAAACATATCAGCGAACGGGAGCGTCGCTGACGTCGCAGATTCCCAACAGCGAGCCAGGAGGAAGCCAATCAAATCGTGGAGAGCGTGCGCAGTTTAGACGCTTACAGATGTTCCACGCTTGCGACGTTTCCTGAAAGCTTTCATTGCAAACGCGACCCACAAACCACGCGACCTCGATAGAGCAGTTGCAAATACCCTGCAATCGAGGCACGTTATGTTCCAACATTTGAAGCTTTCGTGGACTGCCAAGCTAGACAGCGACCAGGAAGATCGGGACAGTGGTCTTCCGCCTTCACTTCTATCCAGGCACGTAGCCAGGATTTGGTTTGGGGGGGGGGGGGGGGGGGGGGGGCTGCCCATGACAAAATGCTGTATGAGGGGGAGGGGGGAGAGGAGGCCCCAGCAAAACGGAAGATTTCGAAGGAAGACCGAGCCCCACGAGTCCCATAACCCCCCCCCCCCCCTCCCCCTGGCTACGCGCCGGCTTCTATCACTAGGGAATTGTAGTAGACCGTTCCCGCAGCCCGCTAAGCACCCAGATAGCGCTCCGTAATCCGCCACAAGACCTTGAACTATGCAGACAAGCAGCTGCGACGTTTTCTTCGGGGATACCATAGCGGAAGAGAAAAACGATCTACTACAACTCCCTACTGTGTCGCGGCAAAGATAGCGGAGACAACAGAAAACGACTGATCACTTTTGAGGGCGCGCTGAAGACAGCAGTCGAAGAAGCCTTCCAGGCACCACACCGTTAGCCTTCTCAGCTCGTAACCAGAGCCGTTTATACAGAGAGAGTTTGACCAATGGGAGGAGCTTGTTGCCCGCTAGAACTAGCGGACTGCGCGATAACACAAAATGGCGTTACTTCTTTGTCTTGTTTATTCCTGAGAAATCGCATAGAGTTCCTATGAATCAGAGCCACAAAATGGCGGACGGAAGTAGTGCTCCCCGGTTGTGAGACTCCGCTGCTGTGGTTGCCAGGCTGTTACAACCTTCTTAAGAAGGTTAAACACTCTCAGTATAAACGGCTCTGCTCGTAACCATGGCAAGTGCGGACGTGTGCCGACGTGAGTTCGCGGAGTAGATCTTCATCGGAATCACGCGCCTCGGTGAGCAATGATTTGATCGCGTCCTATATGTCTCTGACATTTTTTAGATCGTGGCGATATCCGCCATCGCACTCACTCGCAATTCAATCCACGACCATACGAAAGCCAGAATCTACCGCGTGGTCCCGAACCCGGGAAAAACCCCTCAAGCGACCGGATAAATCGGCTTGGTAGCGTATCACGCTACCATTCACCACAGAGGTGCCTAAAGGTGGTGCAAGTATCGCATCAAAATTTCAAGAAACAAACTTACCAAAATAAAAACAAAAATGGTTACTGGTTTTGTCTATCTAGGTCCCCCGTCGCCTAACCACGTGGCCTCTGACTGGCGCAACAACCGGCAGGTGGCGACAGAGGCGGCTACGGCAGCTCAGCAGCCGCCCGGTCACACCTAATGCAGACATTTTCTAATCATAAACGACGCACGCTTTTCGGTGCCATAATGGTCAGCGCGTGATTTCTTTTTCGTTCCCAGTAAAACGCATTAAATGGACATAAAACAAATTAAACCGATGCTTCATCGAGTAATTTGAGCTACATGGAGTCTGCTTTTGGCGCGACTGGGCGCCTGCTGAGCTGTCGTGAGCCGCCGGGACCGCAGCCGCCATCTGTCGGTTGTTCCGCCACTCAGAGGGCGCGCGGCTAGCAGACGTGCACTGTAGGTTGCAAAAAAACTGTTATATTTTTTTCTTCTTTTTTGTAGAGGTAAGTTTGTTATTTGAAAATTTGATGCGATGCTTCTACCACCTTCCGGCACCTCTGGAAAATTGTAGCGCGATACATTACCGGGCCGATTTCTGCAGTCAGTTTAAAGTTTTACCCAGGTTCGGGACACCATCGCATTTTCTCATCTTTGCCAATCACGAAGAAACACAAAGGAAAGAAGAAAAAGAAACGCATCAGGAGGGTTTTATTTGAAAAACAACTTGAATATGCTCACGTTTCAAAGACTCCAGAGACCAACCAGACGACCAACCGAACACCGCATCGACTAAGACAGCATAGACAGCATTTTCCCGCTGACTCATCAGCCCCATCTAACGAACCGTCCCACGCGACACCTTCAATAACCAAAATCCAGCTTCAAACCCCAAGCACCAAGGAGCCATCGAACCAGAGCGTCCCTCAAGTCACCTCAGGATGGCGGCTCAAAACGAGTCATTATATCGAAAATTAAACACAAAAACAAGGGGGAAAAAACGAGACAACGTTAAAACGGTGTTCCGCCCCATCCAATCCAACGAGGATCTCGCGTTCGTGGAGTACGCCAAGCCTGCTTCTCTTCCTCTTCCGACTCCCCCCCTGAAAACCGCCAAAGAGTGGCCTCGAACGTCTTCACGTGCGAGAAGTGTCGATAATAATAAGGTCCCGACAAAGTCGGGGCAAAAGCACCGCAGGGATCGCCGCCGCTGCCTTCATTAGGGGACGCCGAGGGCCGCGCTCGAAGGAGGCACGTCGTTATATCGGCCTCGGCTGACGTCCACCTCTGCAGTGTTTCATCGCCTTTATCGCTCTCCATCCTCCGACCGCTGTCTTGTAATGATGGGGCTTCTCCGCAAGGCCCTCGTGTCTTGCGAGGAAGCGCTCGGTCAAGCTCGACGCTGCTCGTTACGAGATAAAACGTGCATAGGGGACCTCCCAGGAACCGGTTAAGGCCCGGTTATATTTTCAATGATTTACGTCTTTTTTATATATTTCTATATTTTTGTAGGAGCTAGTTAGTTCAATAAATGTGTAAATTATTGCGTTCGTTCTAATCGCGTGGTTGTCAGCGACCCCTTCGGAACTTCCCGTTGCCTTTAAGTTTCCTTTCTTTCTCATCTATACTTTTACTCTCTTTTTTCTCTCTTTCCTCTTTTACGTGGTTTTGTTACCACATTTCACAGGTTGTTCAGGCTTGTGACGCATAAGATTTAGAAGATTCTATTAAATGTACATTCAGAAAAGGAGTTAATAACTCCATATCGATTTTGAATTTTTCTCGGACTCTATCTTAACTCGTGAAGGCTTCATAACCTGGACCACTGCTATGTATGACAGGCACATGAATGAGCCATTGAATAGATCTATAGTCAGCGACAGGTCAAGAACGGAGTGGTGGCTCCTTTCATCCCTTTCCACTTCAGCGGAGCGAACGGTGCAGAGGAGGCCGCCTCCTCTCCACCGTTCGCACCACTAAAGTGGAAAGAGGTGGGAAAATCTTCCACTTTGTTCTTGACCTGTCACCGACTATAGTGCTTAACAACCTGCGAGAGCGTAGGTTTAAAAGGGGCCGAGAAGTCGGACAAGCCATTTTAAAGCTGGAGTAGTCAGTCGCTCGCCTATGCAAGCGAGGCGAGCTGGTCGAAACCGAACGCTTCGATAGTCGAAACTTTCTCGGAAGGAGACAGGGCACCTTGTCTTTCTGTCCCGTATTTTCTTCTACCGAAGTGCCGTAATTTCGCGCGTGAGACAAAATGTGAGCCATTGTCGGGACTGCGAATGCTCGGGAGACTTAAACAAAACTGCACTGTAATAAGCAAGAACTTGCAACGCTAACGCGAAAAATTATTGACGCTCAGAACATTATGAAGGTGGACAGAAAAGGCGTTAGCATCCCGTCTGTAACCTTACCCGAGAAAGATTTGTTTTACCTAGCAACAAAGAAAAATAACGAAGTGTGGGAGATGTGCAAACTGCGTAGAAGACGATGACCGAATGCAACACTGAGTTGCTAGCGCTGAATGCGTGGTCCACCCCTTTTTGCCATGGCGCGTGTTTCAGTGTGAATTGTCCTTGCGCGCTATAAATTATATATATTTTCTTTGCCGCGACTCGCCTCCAAAATCTCAATTCAGCCCCACAAGCTACCAGAAGGAGCAAATGCATCGCAAGGCTTTACGACACGGCGAATCCAACCCTATCCGATTTAAATACGTATACAACCCTACCAAAAAAAGAAAAGAGCAAAAATAAAACAACAGCAAGAATGATCTTAAGAACGTCACGGTTACCACTCAGGGTCGCTCACACTCCGAATCCTTCTCGGCAAGGACCCAAAAGAAGGACCCGCCAAACCCACTCTATCATTTCCCCCATCCCGCATCACACACACACACACAACCCTCACTCGTGCTCGCGGACCAAAGGAATCGTTTCGTTCGTCGTTCGGTACAGAGACAGCAAGAAAAGAAGAAACGGACGAGTGTCCCTAAACAGTCCTCGATCCGTAACAGAAGGATGAAAAGGCTCTCCGTAGCGACCGACCGACCCGACCGACCGCCCGACTTCGAGCGAACCTCCGAAACGAAACCAGTATAGAAAGAATACGCCGTATTAACATACGAGGGCTCTAGGAGAAAGAATCCTACCCTCCGTTTGCACCCCCTAGCTGACAGTGCGGGGGGGAACTACGGGTTTCGATGGACCAATCAGCCGCCTCCCTGTCGTCGCCTGAACCCGGTTTCTGCACGTGAGTATATGGAACGGGAGCGCGACCGCGTGGCGAAAGATAGACGTATGACTGCTCCAAAGAAAACGTAGCGTCCACCTGATTGTCAGAGTAGAGTCGCGACTTCCACAAACGGGGCGGACGTGTAGCG